TGATCATTTTCAAATTTATGATTGTTGGGCAAATTATGATTACGAACAAAAGATCTAGTATTAGATGATATGCAGCTGGTTACATCGATTTCAAATTTATAAGATTGTATCAGAGTTTATCTTCATTCACCATTTGTTATGTTGTTTTCCAATAGCAATAAATAAATAAAAAAAAATTAAAAAATTGTACTTGTTCATTTCTGTGATGCTCGACATGTCATTATGTCCGCTTCATATTTAGTATTTCAGTACAGCAGTCTAAGGAAACGTATGCCATTGTCGTTTAAATGACTTACAAACAAGACCAGAGTGATTTTCAGTTTAAGAAATAAAGACGGACAACGATTGAGAAAAATATACCGGCATTGTCTCCCCTTACCTTGTGTCGCAATATAACTGATTTAAGTAAAAGCCATGATGTGTCAAGAAAAGGAAAGTGGTAAATTATCGGAACCATGAACACATTTATAGCTCAACCAAATTATGTAAATTTTAAGAAAGGAAAATTAGATCGTCTCTGAATCAACTGTTAGTCAACTTATTGATAAGGATGGACACTTTCGTTCGAGAACACAAATTAATATGAGTCAAAGAGTGTCATGCGGGTATTAAATGTACGAACACTCCTGTCTCCATCGGAAATTTAAAACACTGTGAAAATGAACGGTTAATTCCATGAGATTAACTCTAGAAACAACTAGAAAGATTGTACATGTGTTTACCTGATGTCCACGATAAACTTCTCAATCCTTTGAACGGAAGTAAACGATGTAAACGCCACCTGTTCCGGAACTTTGCACACGTTACTAGCATCATTCGATACTTTTCTAGACTTATCACTGTGTGTTGGTGAAAACTTTAGAAAATACAAGATAAAGCGCGAAATATCAAATTCAAAAATATCCTATGCTTAACCTACACAAAAATAACACAATCAATCACGGACTTAGGAGGCGGCAAGCATGAAACAAGTGGAAGGAAGGCTAAAAATAAATTTATTTCAATTTTTTTATTCTGTATCCCATTTCTAATGATGCGACAAACAAAATTTATTTTTTTGTAAAACAATATAAATGCATTTTAAATTCACAAATTCCTAATTGCGCATTTAAAGGGTCTGAGGAAACTTCAATTCTGCTTCTTCTCCGGTATAATGAAACTTGCCGTCCTCAAAGAATGCAACCCAGTTATGTTATCAAAAGTAATCGAAAACGGCTATATCGAGCAATTTTTAATATGACGACAAAGATTACATAGCACTTACCGCTTCAGTGATTTTCGTAGGAACCTCGAAAAAAATAACAATAATTTTCTTTTTTATATCAATGCATACGGAAAGGTATCAGGTGTAATAATTAACCGATGAAATGTGCTCGGCCCCATTAATTTTGAGAATGTATCCGTTCTCTGTTCTATATCTATAAATAGTAGATTCAAAATTCAAGATGGCGAATATGCAAATTAAGTAAGCAAGCTTAATCTTCCGTATGCACAGAAAGGCATGACATGTTCAGGCAATGCGTTTAAACAGATAGGGATATATATGTACGCAAAATGGAACGCCTTCAGTCCATATAAATAAATAAATTACATAATCTTGATTACATTTCTTCATTTTACAAAAGATCGAAAATCAAACTTTCTGATTAATCTCAGACATTTATCTTGCAAAAATATTGATTTCAACATTGTTTAAAAACTTGATAGAATATTTGTGTCGTTGCATGGAATAATTTCCCGGCATATCTAATACATCGCCCATGACTATCAGACAGTGACTGGAAGGTGAAGACAGCTGGTTAGGTTTATGTGAGGTGTGCAACCAGTGTTTTCTAATAGATTTATCCTGTATTTTGGTATTTACCTGTGTATAAGTAAGCTTTTCTGTGCAGGCTAAGTGAGACTGGGTGTTGGTGTTAATCAATAGGTACAACCACTGGCGTAGGCAGGGGGGGGGGGGTTGGTTGGTTGGTTGGAGGGGGCAACTGCCCCCCTAATTGTCCCAGAGGTGAATTTAGTTAAACGTGTTAATCCGTTGATTTTTTAATCTGTATTTATCATATCTATATTTCAGTGATTTTTTTACCTTAGCAGTAGTCCGACATTATTTTGTTTCCATTTGTATCTTTGCTAACTTTGATTTATTTCAATACATTATATCGACTTATCCCAGTATTAATGTGTCGTTATTTTCCTTCAAAATACGCTCAAAATGCAGGAAATGGAGCCAAATTTTTCAAAATTTTCTTGGGGAGGGCACCCAGACCCCTCGCCAAAGCTTCGAGCCTTCGGCTCTCGCGACGCACGGCTTCGCCGGCGTTGCCAGATTTTTGCCCCCACCCCCAACTTCAGATCCTGGCTACGCCACTGGGTATAACTAAAGTCCAATATAGAAAAGTGAATGTGAGACATCATCTCCTCGGTTAACAAGGCACTAAGGGTAACACGACTGTTTCTTCTCTTCATTATCCTGCGCATACCTCATACCCAGTCTGCATGCCCGAGTCATTTTCCTAATACAATATGTAAAATGGAAGAAGCAAGCTAATACAGTCGTCAGCTGGAATACTGACTTTTCACATTACTACAGCGGTTATTTCAAAGTTCACCATAACTGTCTCTTGTGAAAACACTAAATCCCTCTGAAGTAAAGCGTCTCTCAAAATCGTGATGAATCTGGTGCAGGTAGATGTTTTGTTGGGTAGCAAGGACACCATTATTGGTAACATCGCACCATCAACACATCCATCCCTGTTTTTGTGTATCATCACAGAACAAAATTTTTCTCTAAAAAAGAGTGTCTGTCTATGAGCCTTCAAGTCTAACATCCTGTTGTAATTTTGGTAGAATCTTAGCGCGGCTTCAGTAGGGGAATGCCCTGTAACCCAGTAACTCTCGAATGTTGGTACCCGATCTATTATATCTCCAATATCATCATTTTTTGATAAATGTATTCGAAAATAAATCGAAAATAATTCAATTGATCGCTACCGATAAAGATATTCGAAAATTATTCAATTGGGTCTCCAGAATGATCATGGTTCTGTCCAAAAGTCAGCGGGATGTTGTTCAAAGTCTCCATTGTAGCTAGTCAATGCCGAGATACACATATTCAATAAACACGGTCATTCTTTTTCTTTATAGAAAACTTACAGCCAGCATGAAGGCCACCATGACCACCTCTACCTGTTTCTAAAAACATCAATTTGTACTCGTTCGTTCACCATCACGAAAAGACAGACTGAGATTAATCTGTATATATAAAGTACTATCCAAACTAGCATTTCCTACAAATACTTCTTTTGATCTAATAATTCGATGATATTTGAAATAAAATAAATATGTACACAATTACATCGTACTTTAATTAACAAATGGAATGATTGCCTTTAAAACCACAAGAACGATGGAATTGGTTCTATTTATGTGTAAGGATATCATTTGGTTATAAAATTATGATTTTATTTCCCCCGAAGCATCAAATATATGTTAACGAAAGTGTATTAAGCATTTTTAATACTTTTATAAGTATCTTATTTGTTTTCATAAAAGTATTTTATTATTAAGATATTATTTCAATAATAAAATTGTATATTTATATGTTTGGAGTCTATCCTTATCTCCACACACATATTCAATGACTAATCTTTACATTTTAATGTATCTTACAGGTCTCTAGTTTTATGATAAGTGACAAACATGAAAAAAAAAAGATTTAAAGTCACCCAGGTGAGACATGTGTCATGCAGGATAGGCTACACTAGGTAATTTTCAGATGCAAGCTAAGTGAGGATGAATCGTGCAACTATATATAGTTTTATGATATTCAGAATGATGCAAAAGGTAACGCGTATAGGGTGAAAACATATGTAGGGAGTTCTTATGTATCGCTACAAAGAGGTGATCATGACGTCATAGAGGAGTCAAATAAAATAACATGGCGAAGGGGGTTTACCATATACATTGTAAATGTTGCTATGAGAGCAACAAGGTATCTTAAACGTCCCCTGTTCCTTGCCCTAAGTAGAAGTTTTCTGGGAGTCAATGCCGCTTTCATTTCTTCCTTTTTTTATGGATTTTCAACGTTCCATGATCAAGTCACACTCTAGGGTTCCCCAATGGTCCCTGATCAGGTCATACTCTAGTGTTCACCAATGGTCCCTGATCAAGTCATACGCTAGGGTTCCCCAATGGTCCATGATCAGGTCTTACTCTAGGCTTCGCCAATGTTCCCTGATGAAGTCATACTCTAAGATGCCCGAATGGTCCTTGATCAAGTCACACTATAGGAATCCCCAATAATCTTATTTTAAGGTAATGTATTGTCCCTTGATCATTACGTATTGTTCTCTGATCAGGTCGTACTCTAGGAATCCCCAATAATCTTATCTTAAGGTAATGTATTGTCCCTTGATCATTACGTATTGTTCTCTGATCAGGTCGTACTCTAGGAATCCCCAATAATCTTATCTTAAGGTAATGTATTGTCCCTTGATCATTACGTATTGTTCTCTGATCAGGTCGTACTCTAGGAATCCCCAATAATCTTATTTTAAGGTAATGTATTGTTCCCTGGTCAGTTTATTTGTAGTTTACTAGAGTGCATCAGCTGATTCAGCTGATCCAGGTACTGAGCTGTTGTCTATTGTTATTAACTGGTTATTGCGAAAATCTGACTAAAATATTCATTTTTAGCTTATTTGGAGGTTCCTCGCTCCAATACACACCGTGTCAGTTGTGGGACGGGATTTGTACCATATAAGTTTACAATATGACAGTGCTCGGTTAACAGGTGTACTAATCATACTACCTACCTGCAAAGTCACAAACATATTCTATATGTTAATGGCTACCTAGTAACAGAACCTCGAGGCAGAATGTGATCGGCTAGTTTTCTGTCTACTCCACAAGTTTGACCGAAACACTCAGTCAAATATATGTTGATGAAACAATACTCTTGATTTTCCTAACGCAAAGAAAGCCATATACGGTTTGATACTATGGACCACGCGGCAATCCCACCAAGTAAAGGTAAGTGTTGGCAGCATCTCACAATATGTTGTTTATTTAGACAGGAATTAATAACGCTTTTCTTATTTATATAGATGTTTTAAATATATCTAGGTATTACATGGTTTTTTTCCTAAGTCATAGTGACAGTTAGTCACGGAGATAGTGTAATAACTGACTCCATTGTGTGAAGTTTGTAGTAGGCAGCAATCGAGATTACAAAAACAATAACTATTTATTATTGATAACAGTCAGTGTTAATTTAAGATGTGTTTTTTCTCTTAAATTAAGGTCATATTAGGATTGTAAGATAAACAGATATGTATATAGAAAGTATTGGTAGTAATGTTAATATGTGAATAATTTCAAGGTAAAATTAGGTATAATATCATTTGAAGAAAATACATGAAACGAAATTAAAATTTGCCCTGGTTTTACTGGTAGACTGAGTTCACATCTAGTTCAGAAATACTGATATTTTGCAGGCCTCAAATACTGAATCTTGACATCACAGTATGTGGTGAAGCAGGGTTGCTATTGATGTAATTGAGGTAACAGAGTTACAAGTTATGGGGGCAATGGTTATCTTCGATTTCAGTTATATAGACGATATGTTATTATGTGACTAAGTAGACAGTTCACAATAGAAAGAAATAAAATGATTGAGCCTATATTGTATGTAAATGGAAACACATCCACACGATGAGCTTAGAATCCAGCTTGTTATTGGCGATATCAGTACATTTCTTGTACTGAAATTCATGTCAGTAGAAAATATCACTGATAGATTTGAAGGTGTAGTGATATGCTTTCCGACGTTGTTTTGTTTTTGTTTTTGTTTTTGTTTTTGTTTTTTTTTTGGCTTTTAAAAGGTCGATAGAAAATTCTTTTGGTGTGTAGTCGTTTTGAAAACCCCGTCAAACTAAATAAGAAATGCTCTGTTTTGGAATATTCGAATGTCAAATACATCTCTATATTCTAAATCGGTACCCTTTTCATCAGAATTTAATGTAACATATCAATGATTCAACACCCACAAGCAGAATTCACAACCAAGGAGTTGAACATACTTGAAGATGACGTTAACCACGAATAAAAAACAACATTAAAATAAATAAATTAGAGAGAATAAACGATATGAAGATAAAAAAAAATATAGAATAATGTACTGTAGTGATTGATAAATGAATATATGAATAAATAATGTTAAATATAGTATTTATAGAGACTGAACTAAGATAACTTTATACGTGATTAAATGATAAAAATGTACTGTATACCCTTTGGCGAAATGAGTCAATGTCCGACACCGGTCATTGACAAATACGGGCATTAGTGATGTATCATTGTAGTGGTCAAGGTCGAGGTACAATCTTTTATTTAAACAGAACGAACAGATGGTTGGCCAAGCGTCTTAATTTTGTTGTTTATTGCTCAGTGACCAGTGGGCGCCTCTTTGAGAGTTGTTCTTGTAGTAGCTGGTGACTGTCTTAATGAACAACATATGCAGGGTAGAAGGCCCATTGCTTGTCGTCCAGAGTATCTCTTCCAGTTTACTTATACCAGATCACCATGAAAGGCGTATTCTTCACGAATTAGCAATGGTGACCTGTAAAGTGGTATAGATGAGCAGAAAACAGATATCTGACTCGACAGGATATGAAATATACTGTATAGGAGTATCTAAATTTCTTTCTTCATTTGTGCACATACACGTACACTATGGTCAAAATGTTTTCCTTTATCTATAATTCATATGAATAAGACACAAACAGAAAGTGCAAACATACTTTAGAGCGATAATTCGGGCGCAAAAAGTGCCAAAATACGATAATCGTTCAAAGATTTCACAGTAGTTTTCGTTACCAATTAGAAAAAGATGTATCCTTTATCTAGTAATTAGTTAAAGAGCACTAACCAGTTATTTGTCCATGTCAATGAATACGATAGTGTATAAAACTGTTCCAATATTTCCAAAACAGATAGATAGTCAGACGCTCTTACAACAGAAAGAAAAAATGGGAAATATTGTCATTTCATCAAATGATATGAAGAGGATGAGCATTAAAACTATATTTATACAAAAAGAGGTAAAACAATTTCGAAATCTCCATGTTTAAACAGAAACGGGTTTATCAGCTCGTGAGGTTTATTTGAGAATTGATTTGTATTCTATAATTGTTGCTGACACCTTTGAAGCCAATGTCAAATTCCGGTGTATTTTGTGAAGATGAAATAGAAAATGCCGACGTGAAAACAAAACCCTACATGTAATGTAAATTAAAATTCCATGAAAATATGAACAATATTGAACCCAACACCATAAACAGGATGCTACCATTAGGTTGGCGTGTAGTAATCAACGTTTTGGTTTACACATACTTTTTTTAATGTAAATGTAATATCATTCTATAGAAAACTCTGTGTCACATAAATGTGAAAAAAGTTATTTTTTTTTGTATATTTGTAACACATGTTGTGTAGGTCGAGATTTATCAAATAGTGGCGACATTGGTTAATTACATGCAATCTGATGTCAGTAATTAATTGGTATAAATATTTCATTTCATCAATCTGTATTTATACTATTTTATTCCTTCACTTTTTAACATACATTGACTTAAAAATTGTGTTTCATTTAATAGCTAATATAACTCCGGGTTAATTAGTTTGATTGGATATAAAGTTCCACCTGTTACCAACAGGTATCTATTAATTTCTGCCGTACAGTATATAGTGTTGTATTATTCTCCACAGTAAACAAACAGTGATTTATCTGTTAAGTGTGACGTGTAGATAACCTCTGTATAGAAAAGATGTCATTGATTGCAAAGTAACATAAGGTGAAGTTATTTTCATGATGTATAAAATATTCTCAATCAAGGTACAGACGTGAATGAAGTAAGATAAAATTAATCAGTTTCTGTTTATAAACTATTTATATAGATGAAACTGTTCAGTCTGAAATTAAACCGAGGGACGGTAACCGTTAGTAACTGAGGTCCCACTATTTATACACAGTTCTGGTGAAACTGCTCTGTGGGAAATTAAACCGGTAGACGGTAACCCTTAGTAACTAAGGTCCCACTATTTATACACAGTTCAGGTGAAAGAGTTCTATGCGCAATTAAACCGAGGGACGGTAATTGTTTATAAAGGTCACAAGAATTTTTTTAAAATCTTAAACAACCGTCCTTCTGTTTAATATTGAAAAAACAAATGCTAAATAATATTTCATAATTCGGTAAACCATGAAATGTCTCTGTTTATTACAGAATCTACAAGGTAATGAACATTCATTATACATATTTTAGATACTCCTCAGTGAAACTTTGTAAACTGTACGAAGAATTGGGTTGCGTGCTTTTGTTCTGGATGTAACTATGTGTATCGGCCTGTAACATTACCACTGCTTACATATCTAATGTTCATATGTTCACTTGAATCAGCTGGTCTAAATTCCAATTAAAATACGAGATTAATGTAGACAATTTAAAAACACATTAACTTCACTGCAGGTGTATTCGGGTGATGGGTTTTTTTACCTAATGGTAAATATAGATATAATAATTGTTTGTTTTTTTTCTTGCGTAAACTGACGAAGGGAAGTAAACCTCGTACCAATGGAGGAAGGGACTTCCTATTTCATTTCCATGATGTATTGTGACCGTGTATAAAGATATATGTTAATACTATTTATGTGGATATCTTGTGTTTAAAACTAACCCGAGGGAGATTATCCATTTAAAAAGGTCTCAATATCGATACACAGCTAATGATAATGTTCTGTCTAAAATTAAAACGAAGGGCTTTGACCGTTCGGAAAGGTCCCAGTAATTATACATTATTTCAGGTAAGACTGTTTTCTAAAAGTTTTTTGCATTTTCTCATATGCCCCAAACAGCTGTCATTCCGTATTAATATTAAATGGGAAAAGAGAGGAATGTCACTGAGATTTATGGGAAATATGGGACAGTTATACTTAATGAAGCAGATAAATTTATGATAATTTTATCCTGGTAATACCTGCAGTATTTTCTGTGTTTGAAGAAGGCACTACAATGTATAATATCCCCGTTTCCCCAACCTATGGTAATTTCGCAGTTGATACCTTATTTTCGGACTTGTTTAAAGTCCCAGAAAACTCCAAACACAGGGTTTCGAGGGATACAGACTGACGAAGTTTTAGTTCGGCATAGTGATCTCATTGACAAACATTTTCCTTCTTTGGTGCTCGTTAATATGCTTATTGGTCCCGTTGTTTATTTTGTTCTCGTTTGGGAACGTGACATTAATTACTTGGATAGACCAATATTGACATGGCTGTTCCTGTCGATGTCAAAGCATATGCTGACGCCTTCCTAAACACTTGGTATTATTAACTTTGAACTTTGTTCTTATTTTGCCCCAGTTTTATGTTTTGTTGAACTTGCGTGTGGACATGTTTCTGTTTACATGTTGATATTGTTGATATTTTCCTTCTATGTTTTGACACGTGTTTACGTAGATTCTACTCTTGCCATTGTAAGTGTTTTAGTAGATTCTCTGCATTGTACACAATCCTTATACAATATACTTCGATAACATTAACCCATCTCAGCAATCTGTTTTTGAATGCAAGCATATTGCAAAGCAACACATGAAATACCAACATGTCAACATCACCTTAATTTAAACTCAAAGTTGATAAAATCATATCAAAATACGAGCAAAAGAAATATCTACACTAGACTTTCGAACAAGTACAAGGAGAATAATAGTTAGATGGTGTTGTCTCTCTTAATGATCGATATTCTGTCTTTTTCAGGGTATGGAGCACGCCACACATTCACAATCCTTTCCTTTATTGGGTACTTCCATCTTTACGCCTTGCGGTTTAACATCAGTATTGCAATAGTAGCCATGGTTAACCACACCGACACCTTTTCCAACACAAATGTTACCGAGGTTTCCGAATGTCCAGATCCTGGAATCAACAAGACAACAAAGATTTCGGACCAGGTCAGGTATAGATTAAAATAAACAACAGTGATATAAACGTAAAGATTTTAATGCTTATTCTGTTTTCGTGCTTTTCATGCCGAAAGTATTGCACTAAAAATATGATTGCGCTAATTGTCACCTCTTTATATGATTTATTATTGATGAGCGAATTCATCTTTGCGCGATGGAGCTGAAATAAGATAATACACCAAAATTTGACCGCACTAAATTAAGTACGTTTGCTATATCTTCGTTGAACATTGATAGTACAATTACCTGTAACCAAATGTACATATAAAACATCGTTTTCATCACGGAATACTGATTCAAATGATAAATGCATTTCTTCACTTCATATACAAAGTATTGCAATGAAGGTTTCAAGCTTATTTATTTATTCATTTATCTATTTATTTATCTATCTATTCTTATGTTTCTTCTCATTGGAGAACATGATATGACATTATTGGAGTGGCCAAGATTAACACGGCGAGTGCCGTCGATGAACCAGAAGACGATTACTCTTCAGAAACACCTGGTCTTATTCTCTTTGTACTTTTTCATGAGTCTCCGGGTATATCTCTCTTCTGTTTATGATTTACCCTAATGTTCTTGACTTGAGTTTGGTTTATGATCACATGTTGACATGTAGGTATTTTCTCTCTCTTTTTTGTGAATGTAAAACAAAATCTGCATGGTTTTTCGTGTTGATTATCATAAATTCATATTCACATATCATAGCAAGGGCATATTTTAATCAAATGATACAAAAAGACATACATGTTAGTTGCCCTTTTCAATAATAATCAGACACCATAGCGCCAAATTGTGATATCATGAACTGCTGTCAGCTGGTGCGCTTTCTAGGATTCGTTCCTTAATTCTTGAAACCTCTTGGGTGGCTATGAAAATCCAGATAAATGGACAAAAACAAATGTAAAAAAACCACAAAACCACAAAATATGATAAATTTATAACTTCCATTCTCAAATGAATGTAAAAGAACTTCAAGCACATGCACATATTCTTAATTGTGTCATTATTCGAATGAATTAAATCTTGACACGTATAAGACGACATTTTCAGGCTACCTATGATTGGGATGAAGCAACCCAGGGGCTCATATTGAGCTCATTCTTCTATGGATATGCTTTTACACAAATACCAGGAGGGTTCCTCGCCGAGAAGATAGGAGGAAAGAGGCTGTTTGGGTATGGTATTCTCGTCACCGCCCTTCTTAGTCTTCTCACTCCTCTGTCTGCTAATGCTGGACCTTGGGCAGTGGTCATAGTGCGTGGCATGATGGGACTTGCAGAGGTAACTATTGCTGTAGGCTCCTTTCATTAATCACATGTTCTTAGAATATTCTATTATGCCTTAAAGATGTCTATCTTCATATTTTTTCGCTGTTTTGAATGATGATTGAAATAGCGAAACAGACAAATGACATAAATAGACAAATCAGTAGAAAAAATCTTCTGTTAAGTTAGTAAGACCCATACAACTGATATTTTCGTTAAATATCTGAGCAAAAGTATTGACACGCCGGGCCTTTATTTAAGCTAATGCACACATTCATTTGTATGTCTATCCATTCATAGGGTGTAACCATACCCGCCCTCTCGGCTATGCAAGGGAAATGGCTCCCAAGGTTGGAGAGGACGCTACTCTCAAACGTAGCTAATGCAGGTAAAATGTTGAAATGTTGATTGAAATTTAGGATTATAAAATTACCGTAAAATTATACATTTTCGTCGGATTATCTTTTTATTTGGCAGTCGATGGTTCGTACTCATCAAATCCATAAATTCTTAAATATTGTGTCAGTTTGAAATGTTTGAATAATTCCCATGACATTAACGAAATAAACGCAAACATCATTAAGTACAGTATCTTCAATAAACTTTTGCCGATAATAAAATAAATGCGATATAATGAACATCTCATTAATCATATTCCACTTAAACAAATATTTTACAAAATTCAACACAATAATCGTGCACCAAAGGAATAGCTGAATTACGTTAACTATACATGTACATACAGTATGTGGCAGTGCTTCAACAGTACTAATGTTGTTTGGCACACCACAGTTATATTCACTATTAAATGTTTCGGAAGTTTTTATCTTAGCTTTAGTTTAGACGTGTTTACCAAATAAGGAACGTATCAATAGGGATAAACTATCAGATCATAATGGTATAAATAAACTACTGATATAGCCAGTATATAACTACTGCGGATTAATACTATTTCACATGTCAGCCATACTTATTATTTCATCATTTCGACACTCCAGGTGCTCACTTCGGTAACGTGATCTGTTTGCCTATAGCCGGATATCTTAGCTATTCTAATGTATTTGGTGGATGGCCCTCCGGATTTTATATATTTGGTAAGTACCTGTAGTATGCCACGCATTTTAATGATCTTATTTATACCAACGATCGACGTTACTCCGAAAATCATCAACCCTATCAACCTATTCTACAATACCAAAGTGTTTTGCATATTAATTAACCATTTATCTTTATGGGGTTGTCTAATCTCGGAAGATAGAGGGGGTTCGTAGACAAAACTGATAGTACATCTCAAGTTACTGACACTTACTGACCCTTTTTTAAATTTGATTATTTTATTTAGTGTGTTTTCTATATAGGCGCCTGATTTCTATTATCTATAGGGGCGTAAAATAATATGCATTATTATCGTAAATCTAGCTAGTACTTGGGATGCTTGTATCAGGTTTAAGGAGACAAAGGATCATAAAACATGATGTTAATTACTAGTTACTATTGTCTGTATTATAATCATGTATTAATTTTAATAACAATATTCAATATCGGTTTATTTCCTACCTTTGCAGTAAATCTTTTGAATGTCGCGTGAGATTTCTTTTTCCTTCTTTCGTTCATTCTTTCATCTTTCCATCTTTCTTTCCGCTACATTCGTATCTTTCAAGATGAATATGTTTCTATTATATTGCATAGGCGGAGCTGCTATCATATGGTGTTTCTTTTGGCATTTTTTGATATTTGAATCCCCCGCACAGCACACACGTATTGCTCCAGACGAGAAGCAATACATCGAAAGCACGACGGGAGTCCGACATCTAAAGGTAGGTTTATTGTACAGAGGAATTGATGCGCCTATCAAAACTATTCTTTTTTTTTTATGTAAGAAAATCTAAATATCGGTACATTATTGAGTTTTTTAATTGCATGACCCCATATCTCTGCTATTTTTGCTTAGAGTTACCCGACGCCATGGAGGGCGATACTGACGTCATCAGCTATGTGGGCCATCATTCTGACAGCTTTCCTGCAGACCTGGGGTATTTACGTCACCCATACAACGTTGCCTAGATACATGCACAACATACAAAAGTTTGATATCGCACAGGTGTGTTTTAATATAATACCAAAATACTGTTACCAGATGTTGCAATCATTTTTAAAAGGAAGTTTTTTAACAAAAAAAAAATGTTTGACTTTGTGATATAAAATGTACTTTAGTCTTTAACATTAAACGTTTCCGTCTTTACAAACGTAAACAATTGGTGTTGAAGGATGGTCTCCTGATGGCGCTACCAAATTTGTTCAACATATTCGCAAGTGTCGTGGGAAGCTGGTTTGCAGACTTCTTGCTGAAGAAACAATGGTTGTCAACTGTGGCCGTACGAAAAATACTGAATACCCTAGGTACAGGCAACAAGGATCCTTTTCTAGTTTTTGTAGGATTTTTTATAGTACTAGATTTACAACAATGCAATGGGATGAAGATTTCTGTAAAACAATTTATTTTTTGCTTGGAATATCGCAAAACATAATATACTTTCGATGCGTTTCCTTCGGTTAAATAAAAGCAGATTTAAAAGTCATGAAAATAAAAAAAAAACTTTTTAAATTCTAATCAACCGTTACTAAAAGAAATTTTATGAAGTTGGTAAGGAATAATCATAACAATATTCATACAATTTTAACGTACAGTGAATGTATGTACAGGTGTAAGTGCATACATTGGGTTATTCTTTGCGTCTCTACATGACCTGAAAAAGAATCACATGGCTATTTTTGGCTTAACATCGGCCAGTCTTTAAAAAGACTATAAATTATTTTCAAAGTTTTCCAACGTAACAAAAAGTCCTGAATTGCAGGGTTACTTCCGGCTGCTCTATGTTTGCCATTTATCTCCCTTGCTGGATGTGACCATGTTGCTGTTGTCGCGCTCATTGTCTTTGGAAACGGAATGTTGGGAGTTTGTGGTTCTGGGATTTGGGTGAATATCCTTGATATTGGCAATAACTTTTCTGGTAAGTCGATTTTTGTATTAAAGGTATAAAATTGATCTGCTCTCCTAAATTTTCCGACCAAATAATATCAACCGGTAAATAAAGGGCATTATTATTGTCCTTGTGATAATTGTTGTACAAATATTTCATGTTAATTCAATTCATGTCGTAAATCAAAACCTACAACAACTGATTTAGTGATTTGTACTAATATTTTCAGTCTATCACTTCAAAATACAGCAGATAATCAGGAAATTACTGATATAAAGGAAGAAAAATGTTGATCTAAATGCTGCTCTCGTTGTATCATTTAAAATTATTTTTAGAAAATTTCTTTTTCATTCTGTTCTTCCTTTCTATCTTTCATTTGGCATATAGATTCTTCATTGATGATTATCGGCATGAAACACTAACTGTTATAAGGACGTTTTACTATTTGCACATATATATTGCCTTCATAACAATTATTAGTTATCATTGTTAATATCGGACTTCGTTACCTTGCCAACACTATTTCGAAGTAGGAAATGAAAGTATTTTTAGGACAAAATAATGTAAATGACTGCAAGTTGTTATGTTGGCTACTTTGATGACGACCTTCTCTTGTTTATATTATGATAGGATTAACCATGGGTCTGGCCAACTTCTCCGCAAACTTATCAGGAGTTATCTCCCCATACTTTGTTGGCCTCATGACGAATAATAACGTAAGTACCTCCATAACATGTTGACCTTTTGTATAAACCGATGTGTTCATCTTTGATTTGGGATTTATTTTCTAATTCATATATTATTCACCAAAACGAGGCTAATTCACATTCTCTGCCAAAGCTGGGTTAATTGATATTAATTAATTTTGATTTATTTTACAAAAATCGCGAATCAAAATTTTCGCTCTTGTTGGGCCAAATGGAAGCGTGAAGGGAAACCCATGTGATCGAGTCGTTGACCCCATACCATTTCACGTCCGTTTCGGGAATCGAATCCCGGACGTCTAGGTGAAGGGAACAGTGTACCGACCATCTTCATGTTTTCTACCAAAACTGCAAACTCGTGTGTTATCCATCTTAACTTGACTACATGAGTTATGTACTAAAATAGGACTCAATCAAATGCAAGCCACAAACACAAAAAGCTGCGCTAATTGATATATATTATATTTTATTATATATTTATTTTACAATAATTGCGAATCAAAATTTTCATAACTGAATCACATGTTATTTACCAAACCTAGGCTAAATCATGTGCATTTCACCAAATTCAGGCTTATTTGCATGTTATCCAACAAAACTGGACACTAGGCATTAACTAACTTACATGTGATCCGCCGAAACTGAGCTAAATCACGATTTACTCACCAAAACTTAGTCATATGTTATCATTGTTTAATTCATTATTAGGCTGTGTTGTACCTTACCTAAATTTGTTTTAAATTGTGTTATTCACTTACCTTATTCACTTGCCTTTTTCTACAGTCCACCGGAACTGTAAAGGTTATCTGTGATTTAGATTTGTGTGATACAAAAGGAACATATTCTTCAAAGAATTCTTCCTCTTTTTTTTTAATCAATTTAACTTTCCGGGTATCTGTTTTTTCTGTTATTCTGTTATTCTTTTCTCGAAAAGAGCCGAATTCAGAACCCCAGGAAGATATCAACTTTCACAATCATTATTGTGTATTAAGTGTTCTCTCTCAAATTAACCTTTTCTCTTTCAATATCACTGACGAGTCCCAGAACTGTGCCATCGAAAGATCTTACCTATTAGTAACTCTAATTAAATATTTTATATTTACAGGAAACCATGCACCAGTGGAATTTGATTTTCTATGTTTCTATGGCCTTCTACCTGCTAGGAATACTCATCTTTGTCTTGTTTGCCAAAGGATCAGAACAACCTTGGAATCGTTTGCCGCATGAGGAAACAGACACCGGGGACCAGACCTATGGTGATGGAGCCTCTTCAGACGAAAAAAGAAGTCAACCTCCTTGTTACAAAACACTAACGGAAAATATGTGAATGATAAAAACACCGCACAAGTACTGTTCTGACCCTAGACTACGTTTGGTGAAACCTTTTACGGACATGTTCAACGCAGCGCCCGTCTTACGACAGTTTACATTTGGTCAAGCCTTTGCAAGGACAAATTCAACGTACCACTCGTCCATAGTCTAAATTAGGTCACGCCTGTTTGGCTGTAGCGACTACATCTTCACGTTATATACTTTCAACTTGCGGAGAAGCTGTTAGCGACTTTCAACTTGGAATGTGTTTGACTAGTGGACCATAGCATGGGAAAGTGAATACATTCATTTCTTTCTTCGTTTTAACGAGTCATCATACGAATACATACAATTATATTTATCCTAGATAACCTAACCCTGCTGCCGGTATGAAAATCGAACAAGAAATCATGTAAGCGATGGGTGTCATTTATAACATCATAAAAACATTAGGTTTCACAACATCTTCAATGAACCAGTGAGTTTTTCCCGAACCCCATAATAGCTATGACATCATGGATGTTGAAATAAAAATAATTTTCCTTATAGGGATATTCTTATGTCATAATAATCTCATTGGGAAGAAATAGAATGAAATTCGTTATTTCATATTTTGTCAAGATCCTATTTGAATATTTATTGGATTAAAAATATGCATTACATAATTATTTAATCGGTTCATATGTTATCATGTAGGGTGAACATGGGTAATGAAAATATAAGACAAAGACGAAAATATGACATGATAATGAAAATAAATACAAGACACGGAAAAAAATAATGAAAATAAATACAAGTCACTTAAAAAAATAATGAAAATAAATACAAGACACAAATAATGAAAATAAATACAAGACACTGAAAAAAATAATGAAAATAAATACAAGACACGGAAAAAAAATAATGAAAATAAATACAAGACACGGAAAAAAAATAATGAAAATAAATACAAGACACGGAAAAAAATAATGAAAATAAATACAAGACACGGAAAAAAAATAATGAAAATAAATACAAGACACGGAAAAAAATAATGAAAATAAATATAAGACACGGAAAAAAAAATAATGAAAATAAATATAAGACACGGAAAAAAATAATGAAAATAAATACAAGACACGGAAAAAAATAATGAAAATAAATACAAGACACGGAAAAAAATAATGAAAATAAATACAAGACACGGAAAAAAATAATGAAAATAAATACAAGACAAAGAAAAAGGCATTAATGAAAGAAGACAAAAAATGAAAATAAATGTGAAGCAAGGAAAAATATATGGAAATTAATATAAGACAAAAAAAAAAAAAGAATAATATAGTAATTAATATTACTTTCTATGGATCCAAATAACTACATCTCTATTTATCATTTCCTGACATGGATCGTAAATAATTCACCGTATAGTCCGATGGATCCCAACTACGTTTACGTTACATGGCAGAGTTTGTAAAAATCGGAAAAAATTAAAACTAAAACATATTTTGTCTAGGACATCATTAACGAATTATGGGTTTTAATAGATATCAATTATCCGTTATAAACTCACAAAAAACACATGTAGGCTTCACATGCATTGCATAGTCTTATTGACGTTAATATGTTTACAGGTATTAATATGAAGCTAATTTCTTTATCGCTTATGTTAATATCAATTTCGTAACTGCTTTGTTAACTGCCATTATTTATAAATGTATGTAAGTTTATTATATTTAGATTTGATCGCCGCTGGTGTCCGGTGACCACAGTATCAGACGAACATTGTAATGATGGGACTATAATTACACTGGTCTGTTATATTGTTATGATGGGACTATAATTACACTGGTCTGTTGTATGGTCATGATGGGACTATAATTACACTGGTCTGTTGTATTGTTATGATGGGACTATAATTACACTGGTCTGTTGTATTGTTATGATGGGACTATAATTACAATGGTCTGTTGTATTGTTATGATGGGACTATAATTACACTGGTCTGTTGTATGGTCATGATGGGACTATACTTACACTGGTCTGTTGTATTGTTATGATGGGACTATAATTACACTGGTCTGTTGTATTGTTGTGATGGGACTATAATTACACTGGTCTGTTGTATTGTCATGATGGGACTATAATTACACTGGTCTGTTGTATTGTTATGATGGGACTATAATTACACTGGTCTGTTGTATTGTCATGATGGGACTATAATTACACTGGTCTGTTATATTGTTATGATGGGACTATAATTACACTGGTCTGTTGTATTGTTATGATGGGACTATAATTACACTGGTCTGTTGTATTGTCATGATGGGACTATAATTACACTGGTCTGTTATATTGTTATGATGGGACTATAATTACACTGGTCTGTTGTATTGTTATGATGGGACTATAATTACACTGGTCTGTTGTATTGTTATGATGGGACTATAATTACACTGGTCTGTTGTATTGTTATGATGGGACTATAATTACACTGGTCTGTTGTATTGTTATGATGGGACTATAATTACACTGGTCTGTTGTATTGTTATGATGGGACTATAATTACACTGGTCTGTTGTATTGTTATGATGGGACTATAATTACACTGGTCTGTCGTATGGTCATGATGGGACGACTATAATTACACTGGTCTGTTGTATTGTTATGATGGGACTATAATTACACTGGTCTGTTGTATTGTTATGATGGGACTATAATTACACTGGTCTGTTATATTGTTATGATGGGACTATAATTACACTGGTCTGTCGTATGGTCATGATGGGACTATAATTACACTGGTCTGTCGTATGGTCATGATGGGACGACTATAATTACACTGGTCTGTTATATTGTTATGATGGGACTATAATTACACTGGTCTGTTGTATGGTCATGATGGGACTATAATTACACTGGTCTGTTGTATTGTCATGATGAGACTATAATTACACTGGTCTGTTGTATGGTTATGATTGGACTATAATTACACTGGTCTGTTGTATTGTTATGATGGGACTATAATTACACTGGTCTGTTGTATTGGACTATAATTACACTGGTCTGTCGTATGGTCATGATGGGACGACTATAATTACACTGGTCTGTCGTATGGTCATGATGGGACGACTATAATTACACTGGTCTGTTGTATTGTCATGATGAGACTATAATTACACTGGTCTGTTGTATGGTTATGATTGGACTATAATTACACTGGTCTGTTGTATGGTTATGATGGGACTATAATTACACTGGTCTGTCGTATGGTCATGATGAGACTATAATTACACTGGTCTGTCGTATGGTCATGATGGGACGACTATAATTACACTGGTCTGTTGTATTGTCATGATGGGACTATAATTACACTGGTCTGTTGTATTGTTATGATGGGACTATAATTACACTGGTCTGTTGTATTGTTATGATGGGACTATAATTACACTGGTCTGTTGTATTGTTATGATGGGACTATAATTACACTGGTCTGTTGTATTGTTATGATGGGACTATAATTACACTGGTCTGTTGTATTGTTATGATGGGACTATAATTACACTGGTCTGTTGTATTGTTATGATGGGACTATAATTACACTGGTCTGTTGTATTGTTATGATGGGACTATAATTACACTGGTCTGTTGTATGGTGTTATGATGGGACTGATAATAATTACACTGGTCTGTTGTATTGTTATGATGGGACTATAATTACACTGGTCTGTTGTATTGTTATGATGGGACTATAATTACACTGGTCTGTTGTATTGTTATGATGGGACTATAATTACACTGGTCTGTTGTATTGTTGTGATGGGACTATAATTACACTGGTCTGTTGTATTGTTATGATGGGACTATAATTACACTGGTCTGTTGTATTGTTATGATGGGACTATAATTACACTGGTCTGTTGTATTGTTATGATGGGACTATAATTACACTGGTCTGTTGTATTGTTGTGATGGGACTATAATTACACTGGTCTGTTGTATTGTTATGATGGGACTATAATTACACTGGTCTGTTGTATTGTTATGATGGGACTATAATTACACTGGTCTGTTGTATTGTTATGATGGGACTATAATTACACTGGCCTGTTGTATTGTTATGATGGGACTATAATTACACTGGTCTGTTGTATTGTTATGTTATAATTACACTGGTGATGGGACTATAATTACACTGGTCTGTTGTATTGTTGTGATGGGACTATAATTACACTGGTCTGTTGTATTGTTGTGATGGGACTATAATTACAATGGTCTGTTGTATTGTTGTGATGGGACTATAATTACACTGGTCTGTTGTATTGTTATGATGGGACTATAATTACACTGGTCTGTTGTATTGTCATGATGAGACTATAATTACACTGGTTGTATAGTCTGTTGTAATTACACTGGCCTGTTGTATGTTGTGATGGGACTAATTACACTGGTCTGTTGTATTGTTATGATGGGACTATAATTACACTGGTCTGTCGTATGGTCATGATGGGACGACTATAATTACACTGGTCTGTTGTATTGTCATGATGGGACTATAATTACACTGGTCTGTCGTATGGTCATGATGGGACGACTATAATTACACTGGTCTGTTGTATTGTTGTGATGGGACTATAATTACACTGGTCTGTTGTATTGTTATGATGGGACTATAATTACACTGGTCTGTTGTATGGTCATGATGGGACTATAATTACACTGGTCTGTTGTATTGTCATGATGAGACTATAATTACACTGGTCTGTTGTATGGTCATGATGGGACTATAATTACACTGGTCTGTTGTATAGTCATGATAGGACGACTATAATTACACTGGTCTGTTGTATTGTTGTGATGGGACTATAATTACACTGGTCTGTTGTATTGTTATGATGGGACTATAATTACACTGGTCTGTTGTATTGTTATGATGGAACTATAATTACACTGGTCTGTTGTATGGTCATGATGGGACTATAATTACACTGGTCTGTTGTATAGTCATGATAGGACGACTATAATTACACTGGCCTGTTGTATTGTTGTGATGGGACTATAATTACACTGGTCTGTTGTATTGTTATGATGGGACTATAATTACACTGGTCTGTTGTATTGTTATGATAGGACTATAATTACACTAGTCATGTATTATTATAATGCTCTGATCATTCATTACATTTACTGCACTGTATGAAAATAAGTTCTATTTTCTTCGATCAATATATCCAGTTAATCAATAAACAATACGGAAACGTTATGTAATTAGTTAAGTGACATTAACGTTTTTTCAATGTTATCATGGACGATATGACATTAGAAATAACCCCTTCATCTAATAGACTTAGAAATCTACTACATTTAATAGTTAGAGTGTGGTGAACGTCTTATAGGCGCTATCAGTCCGTGAAAGATCTACCTACAGTGGAAGTGTTACCAAGCACAGAATGGTATTATATGGATGACGACGGGGCATCATTGGCCTTATTGAAAAATAATTTATTCAATCAATACAAAAATGATAAAATAGTTTATTGTCTGATATTATAATTAGCATTCAATTATTAATGTATGTGTCCGTGTACGAATTCCTGAAGGTACTACCTAGTCGACTGAAGGTGCTTTTAAAGGTTTCTTATCAAACAAGATGTACTAGCACAGCTCACATTTCCCATCTGCTTCTGTAACAGCACAGCGTCTCTATACAGTATTTACCTACTTTGTAATTCCGATAAATCTTGAGCGGCAACCTGCCATGGAATATTTCAAAAGTCATTAAATACTGTTCAGGACAACTGGCCGTTGGTATCTTATGGCGCCAGAATTTATACACCTTATGACGTCACACCATGATGTTACCATCGTCGATCTGCCAACCATCACCAGCCAATCAGCGCTGTGCTGATATGATTTAACAATTCTGTTGAATACGTGCATTGTCGACGAAGGACCTGCATTATGATGTACCTCGGTCGTCGACGACAATGCCGATTTTGCGATCATATGCAGACTGATATATTATAATGCTGCACGATGGGTACGTGCTATAGGTTTAAAAACTTTAAGTAATTAGTAATGCATAGTCAACACGTAGATTGAATTATATAGCGAATATATATATTAAACAAAATGATGTATTTCCAGTTGGTCGAACAGCTGACCGCACCATGCTGCTAACGGGCTACCACGTGTATTCAATAGAAGCAAACTGTCCTTGAAATGATTTGGTTGCTAACCCATGAGTACCTGAGCTATATGGCTGTTCTGTTTTATTGAAACCACCACTATCATAAAGATTTGGTTTTTTGTTTTCTTTTTTCATTGTTTTTCTATGTTTATTTATTTATTTATATATATTTTTTGTCTTTTTGTCTTTTTGTAAATATTTCATGAACATCCATGGTCATCAAAGGTAAAAGTAGAAGCTGAAAAAGAAGAAGAAGAAGAGAAGCAAAAAAGAATAAAAGACCAAAAATTATCACACAATACATATACATATTCTAAAACTCGAGTTAAAAATATTCATTTATACATTATTTTTAATGTACCGTATCCAATCAAACTGCACTATACAGCTGTTTCGTCTTTCCAGGAATTATCAGTGATGCTAAGGACCTGTGTTTAAAACTGAGGAGGCGACTGCTAAAAATCAAACTTGATGTAAAAATCTTGACAGGGAGGAGTACTAGCCCTATCGTTATGTAAATTTTGCATATTTTGGTGGTATACCTTGGATGGTCGGGTGCCGCAGTGGTAACGCACTCGCCTTTCACCTAGCCGACCGGGGTTCGATTCCCGGAACGGAAGTGAAAAGGTAAGGGGTCACCTGCCCGACCACGTGGGTTTTCCTCTGGCACTCCGGTTTCCTCCCGCAATAAGACCCCTTTTAATTTAATAAGGATGTAAATTGGGAATTTTAAATAAATGATTGCACATCTTGTTTTATGTTGTGATAGCTATTATTAAGATAAAATTAATTTTATAAAATTATCTACCTGACAAAATTCTTCACCTAGCATCCGGTGTTCAATTTCCGGTTTCCTCCCATAATAAGACCCCTCGCGCGCCTACATCCGGGCCAACAAGAGTGATTAGTATAAGTTGACATAACTTGTTTCGCAATTGTTGTAAAAGAAATAAAGTTTCTATCTATATATACCTGTACACTAAATTGACACAGATACTGCTTTAGTGCGTGTCAGATGATGTTGCTAGACTGTTATCAGAAATATTTCATTAAGTATGTGAAATTGAGGTATTGTAAGACATCACGAGAAAGCTGTAAACAACTGAAATGACTAAATCCAGGAACATGACATAAAAAAAACAATAAACTCAGCTGTTATATTTTTAATGCTTTATTCAGAAACATAGATCAAAATAGCGATCTCCTTACACTGATCAAGGTACCGGCGATTAAATGACAAAGCCATCACAATGGTATTGTTAATCTCACGGTCCGTACTCTTCTTTCAATCCTCAAAAGGTGATAACTTTCCACTGATAATCAATACCATTACCACAGCCGGCACTTATAGACGGAAAAGAATAGCTTATATTTAACTGATAAAGATATATAATAAGATCTGACACCAAATGCAGCAGGGTAGATAGAAATTTTGATTTTTAGAAAATTTTAGAGAGATTGATGAAGAACATCGACACTGAAGGCAACCGAAGGTCACGCTTCTGTTTCTCATATTACTTTAGCAGATACCCGGAGAAGGTTGTAAATTTTCCACGGATGTAACAGTTGCTTGTTGTAAATACTGCCGATATTCCAATATGTGCCACACCTGATTTCTTCATTTCAATAACACCAGTGTTACCGAACGACGTATAACCATTAGAGTCATAACCGTAGTTACTGACGATAGTGGTGTTGCCATGATAAAGAGTTACAGTACAAGGCTTGGCGTACGAATATTCGCTAGCTTGGAAATGGAAGGCGTAAAGCCCATCAGCAGGGGCAGTGAACACACCAGTTGCTGAGTTGTATGCATCTCCGATGTTCGTGATGACTTTGGTAAACTTGAGAGAGCCACTAGAGCGAGGACCTATGTTACTATCAGACAGGTAGGCACTAAATGAAATCTCCTTGCCTGCAATGTACAAAATATTCACAAATACGTATAGTTTTCGAATCAAAGCAGATACTTTTACTTCCTAAAACATTCTTAACACACAAACTCAATTTTCAGAAAGATTTCCCTCCCCCTTTAAAGACGCTGTTTCCTTTATATGCCTGTAAACCGCCCTCTAATCATTCATGGGGTCACAATTATGGAGATCGTAGCGTCCCATTTCACCAGAAGTTGAGGTTGACAAAGCTATAAGTTTATTGACCTTTTTGATTGAATATTACGTATAGAAAAGATATGGTAAGACTAACAACTGATTGAGGAATGGATAGATATATGGCGAAATGAATAGAATAGAAACCAACATAACCAATCCGAGTGCTCAGTCTATCTCTCTATATATAAACAACTCAAAAAAAGACAGGTCTACAGATAATACATCAGAGTTCAGAATTGCGTCCCATCACCATTTTTTTAATCTTAAGGAAAGTGGTTAATGAAGAATGATGCTGAACTTCTTTCTTTACTCTAGATAAAAGGATTTCGTGCAATAAAACTTTCACGGAAAATGATCGTAATTCTATCAACCAAGCAACAAAGTTAAACATCGCGACACTGCTCATAGACACACGACTAAAGATATGATGTTGGAAGTCTCAAGTGTATTGCAAGAACGCTTCAGTCACTGTTTACGATTGTGCATAAAATTGAGGAAAATGTGTCAATATGAAATGGAGCTGAAATCAATTCCTAATTCAAGATATTATATTATAACAAAAACAGTACTTTAAAGCTAGATAAATTGTCAAAATGGTAACAACATCACAAAACATTATCCATTATTTGTCTGCATGAAACTCGTCAATTGTCAATCATTAAAAATACGAACACTCCAACAAGCCAAAGTATGGGCAAAAGAGAGATTTACACGGAGACTAATGAAAAAGTACAAGAAGAATACGACCAGATGTTCCGGAAGAGTAAGCGTCTTCTGCTTCATCGACGACACCCGCCATATGAACCTTCGCCAGTTCAAGTAAGTGTCTCGTTCTCAAATGAGAACAAGGTATAAAACAATGGAACCAACAGGTAGACCAACGAGTTTCAAACACTCCTTTTCATGTGCACAAAGAAACAAAATATTTCTTTATGACATCACTATGACGATTATAAAACTTTCATTATCAGTTGACGACTTCTTGCACAAACATCGTGATAATGGGAATAGGTCTTTGAATATCGCATCAACTTGACATGTATTATTTTAACTTTGACACATCTGGTTTCAATTTTGACATATATAACCTTAAATTTGAGATATATAATTGAATTTGGCATACTAGTCGATCTAGGTATATACTGTACCTCTTGGAAAGTCTGGTCTGCTCTCCAGTTTGGCCAGTCGTGCCATGAGGTTGTCGAGTTTGTCATCCATACGGGCCATTATACATCCGTATTCTTCTTTCTCTGGATCGACAGTGACGAATTTCTTTCCAGGTAATCCAGCATCCAGACCCGGTGATAGCAGCACGAAGACACTGAACAGTGTAATTATTGTCGACATGGCTGAAGAAAAGGTTTGAAACAAGTTACTGACAACAATCGTATGTAATTGGTGCCAATATCAGCGCTTGTTGTCCCTACTTAGATATTCCTCAACTTTTATAGTCTACAATATCGATGTAAATCCCCTGACTCCGAGCTGTTACCGTCATTAATATCATTTTAGGAACATCTTGATCTGGTTTAATATAATTTAACCTGATCAACCGTTCTTGAAAATGATACGGACGATGAAGATATCAATTTTCTTTAATTTGTTAGGTCGATATTTATCTGTTTAGCTATTGAGATTAATCATCAATATTCTGGTTGATTTATAAAAATACAGATATTTACAAAATTATTTGATTCTGTCCAAGTGTAACACCTGCTGATACTTCACTGTCAACGTCGCCTGTATATGCAACTGTTGTCTTCTAGGTCTGGTCAGTCAGCCATGGTCGTTTTTGAGACTGAAGGGGCGATTATGAAGTGTAAAATTTGGGCGGAATAATGTCAGTATCTATTTATTGTTTCACATGGTGCTTCATATATGTATACTAGAAATAAATTATGTTTTTTTCATGATATCTAAGAAATCACTTCGTTTACTGTCATTTTTGTGTCGGATGTTCATGATGGCAACTGGTAAATGAAATAACAAGAGGCCAACGGGCCTTAACGGTGATCTGACATAAAATACCAGATTTCAATTTTTGAACTTGAGAAGAAGTCGAAAATGTTTTTTGTTTTCAAGATGGCGGCCATGTTAGATTTCGAACCAACCCGAAATTAAGAAACTTTGGTCAGGATCATGTCACGATCATTTCATATAAGTTTCAGCTCAATGAGATATTTAGAACTTGAGAAGAAGTTGAAAATGTTTACGACGGACCCTTCGGTCAGATGACCTAAAAATGTCGAACGTCATTTGTTTTCTTTAATCCTCTAACGAGTATAAAAAATGTTATTTTTCTTTTAAAAAAGTAAGATTTTAAAAAGGCTTTCTAGATGTTGAATGTTAGCTATTAGATTATTTCATTTATGGCTATATACCATACATTATTTTTCATTTTCAAATCACACTTCTAAATATGTTCATAAGTCAATGTATGTTACACACCAAAAAGTGTAAAATAACTCCGACAACCAATGTATAATTGTTGTTTTAGTATAAATGATACTACATTAGGTACGTTTGGGAGTTAAAGCCCATACGCCACTTTTTTATCATTTAAAATGTAATAAAAAATTATATTCTTTGTTTCTTGATGAATAACATTTATTTTTCATCGAAACGCCCTCATTTAGATATCGAGGTTTCCACGATACGAAATGATGTATAATTATTATTCATCCTTCATTGATGTCAGTTAGCTTGACCGTTGTTTACCTTGTTCACATTTGAGAACGAGACATTACTTACTTACGTAAACCATACAACATGTTACCCTGATATTTTCATGCTAATAATGCTGTTCGAAAATTTTTTAATTTGATTGATGTTTCCTTCTCATCGTTAAATCAGAATGACCAATAGAGCTAATGGTTCTTTTGTCATTTTGGTGAAAGTGGACTTATTTCTTCATGGCTGTTGTGAGTGCACAAATGGGATTTTTTGTTGGTTTTTTTTTCAATATTGATTTCTTTTATTTTATTTTTTTATCATTATTATTGCTTTCGGTTTTCTAGCAAGTTTCATAATATGAAAAGTGTTAAAATGATACCTTTTTTCATATATCTCGAGACAACGTAACATGCTGTGTATGATAGTGTTACCGAAATTAAACACCAACCCCACTACCAAGTAAACAAAATTGTAACAGGTTTTATCAGTCGAAGGTAATAAGATATATATAAGGAATGATTTGATCCTGATTAATGTGACACGTGGTTTTGACGGAATATCACAGACATTTTTGACGTATGTGATGTATGTTTACCAGTCGAGTATACAGCAGGTGTTTGTCAGTAAGAATCACCAAAACATTATCCATTTCTAAAGAAATTAGAGAAGATAATTCAGGTGTTTGCTTTCGTGGTATCATTAGATGTATAGTTCCACTAGGCTATAGTTTTTTCACCAAATGTGGTCATACGTGCTTGATTTCGCTATCACAACATATTTACATACTACCTTAATTAAGGCCAAAAAAGAAAAATATGTGTTTCCGATTCTCTGCCTTATAATAGGGTCGGTAAGTAGGGATTTAGAAAATAACGTGTGCTTGCTTTTGACATCGATATCTTTAGTACCGCATATTGATTAGGGTATATTTTATACCCATGTGCTAGGTATGTATAAGTGTTGCATTAGTGATTTATGATCTGTTTATCTAGTCCGAAGGGATAGGGCTATCTTTCCGGGACTTTATTTTATCTTGGTCGCTGTCCATAGAATTCCGCCATGTAGAAAATTGAGCGACCCGTTACTTGGTCGGCAATATTTTGTAAGGGTGATTCCCTATTGTGACTTTAAAACTACTGAATATCAAACTCTCGCGGGATCGGCGGCAATGGTAGACTACAAGCACTAGTCTAGAGAGGTCAACATAGTGGCGGTCATTGTAAATGTGCTGAAAAATGCAGATGGGGGGATATGAGTGGCAATACTACATGTTTTATATTTCCATCAACGTATCATTCCTAACAACCATCCTGTTTCCGAATCTGACACATGTGCACGTGTCGAGAAGCTTTCGTGTTTGTATACGGTGTAAGAATAAATACATTAAATCACGGGTATATAGTGCGAACATTTCGGACTAATGTTTATTATGCAGAATATCACAATCCGTCAAAACGTCTAGCTGGCTGGTTCATGTATTGACAGAGAAGTAGAATCGCCCTTACGCGCTTCAATCAGGGTCAACAAGCGTGATTAGTATAAGTTACAATAAACGATGTTTATATTTATTTATTTATATATTATATGGAATTTATAAAACGGGTTACATAATTTGCCATATTACGATTCTAAGATGTGTGAAAGATCCAATTATCTAACGAGTTTGATTAATTTCATCTGCATCGGCAAGGGTGTAAGACTCTATTGATTCCATTATCCTTATTTCTGAAAGAAAAAAAACTTTTATATATATTATCTTACAGAACAGAAGAAAACAAAATACCAAGAAAATACCAACTTGTCCACATGACCATCATCCAAACACAAAATTCAATGAAACCGGGGCAAAAAATTAACAAAAGAAATATTTCCACGGGAACATCTTGAAAAGTTCAAGAAGACGTTACGGAAGAGTAAGCGTTTTCTGCTTCATCGACGACACCTTCAATCTAAATCTTGGTCAATGCAAATTAGTAATGTTACGTTCTCAATGTGACAAGGTATGCAACAAGGGAACCAACTGGCAAACTAACGAGCACTCATATAGCACAAAGAAATATATTTCTCAATGAGATCAATATGATGACCGTGGAGCTTCCCCATAACTTTCATCAACCTGTATCTGTTGAAACCCTGTGTTACGAGCATATCCGTCAGTTGACGACTTCTTGCACGAAAATCGTGATAATGAGAATAGGCCCTTGAATATCGAATCAACTGCGACATGTTAAAATGATAGGTTATCATACAGATTGGTGGAAAGCTGTCCATGTTGGTTTGGTTGCAGATTGACACAGAGAGTATGTTTTCACTATCGAAACAATGCTATGACGTTATGAAATCATGACATATTTATGACATCATAACAGTATTATTACACGCGTCTTGCGATGCTTATTGCATGGTCGTATGTCCGGACAGGTCAGTTTTGCGACACATTTAAATATCAGCAAATTGTTTTCATCATGCTTCGCTTGTTATCAAAGCAGCAGTCAAAAAAGGTCGCTAATATTCTTATATATGATTTTACTTGTTTCCATTAATTATTCAATTTGTTTTGGAAGATGCAATTCACAAGTGCCTTTTTACAATCTCCAAGATAACATTTGGTAGTCACTGCTCTGCATTTCACGTTTTGATTCATTAGAATGGCAACACGGCCCATGATGAACATATGTAATTGATGTTCTTTTGAAATTATCAAATATATGAAAATTATGGCATTTATTGAATATGGCACTTCCCAATCTACACTGAGACTTGTAATTGACGTTCTTTTGAAGTCATTCAATATAAAACAAAAAATATCATATTCATTTAATTCTGGAAAATGTTAGTCACCTCGTCATCTAGTATTTTAAAACTGATTTGAACCAATTGGATTTTCCACCGTTGCCTCCAAAGTTTCAATATTTCAGGTTCTTAGCATCACTAATAATTCCTGAAAGGACAAAAGAGATGTACAATGAGGTTGAAATGATTATTGCAGTTATGAACTCTTACTTCTCCTTCTATTTCAAATGTATTGCTTTGAAAATGAGTTGACAGATAGATATCGCGTAGTTGCTTCCATGTTCGTCAATATCAAATTTAAGTTAACTTCTGTATATGATAGCATTAGTGATATCTAACATACACCACACTACCAGATAGACATTTGAAATTAAATCTTATCATGTCGTATCAGATGATGTAATAAAGATATAGATAAGGAATGCTTTGATCCATATTAATGTGATACCTGCTTGTGATGTTACAGCAACAAAATCTCAAAGACATTTAAGACGTGTGTGCCATTTGTCTGTCGATCTTGCAACAGTTGTCTGTCGGTAAGAATCGTGACAATGTGATCAATTTCTGAAGTCATTTGACAAGCCCTCTGTCATTCTGCAGGTTACATATATCGCAAGTGCTATCTGCTATGGCTGTGTTTTTTCCAAATATGGTCATAAATGCTAGATTTCTTATTCTTATCTCTTCAAATGCAGGAAAATAACCTGTTACACCAATAACAGAATTTTGCTCAAGATTTTATTTTCACATATTCTGGTATCATTTGTAGCAGTTTAATGAATCTAAAAGGTCCCCGATGCATGTGTCATGACCTGCTTACTGCCGTGAGCAGAAAGTTTACAGCTGGGTCCATTTTATCAGAAAGTTGTCAGTTCTGTCAACACGTTGTAATAACATAATGAACATTGCCTTTTTATTTCTTAATCATGATAACAAATTTGTAGTAATATTGAAAATGTAAAAAGGACTCACACATGAATTTCAGGCACAATTTCAGATATATCAATATATTCGTTTCATGAACAAGAAATATAAAAAAATAAATTGTGTTGAGCGACTATTGTGCAAATTAAAATATTGTCATTTAAAGGTCAAAATGTAGTAAACTAGATTTTCTGGAAAAAAAACAAAGGTCATAGGGCTGTGTTTATTTTCAAAAATAATTCGTAGCAAAATATTTTTACTATTGGTTATACGACATCAGTTAAGTCCTCTGTTACTGTCAATTAAAGCTATACCGTAAGATACTACTTACATGGCGAGTGTTGTCGTTTAACAGAAAATGGTCACTATTTCGGAACGTATGGTCGTATTCTCATTTTACTTAAGTCTTATTGTAAATATTTCCTTTAAACATATTTTGCCATAGTTTTCTTCAGTTTGAGTTTTGATTATGATTCTGTTCACATGTTGGTATTTCATGTTTGTTTTTAGATGTTTAAAAGAACAGAGTTGGGATGTTTTGATAAGGTTAAACTTTCGTCTATTTTTGTACATTTTCAGTTTGTTTGGTACATTACCCAGACAATGGAAAAGTAGAGAAACCGATAGTGGATATGAAGCTTTTGTACAGCTACATATCTTATTTAAATACTTCTATCTTCTGTCTGGAGTTGTACCAAACCACTTCAAGTCGCGTCAACTTAATAACTAATATCACTCAATAGTTAGGCATTTTCTTTTGATATTAAGGGATTTTTCTCATGCTTTTGATGACAGCTGGCACAAAGGTCTCATTTATAATCTGAACAATCATGGTATCTTTCGTAGAAAACTCGTTATTTGTCCAATAGAAAAAAGTTTTTATTAAGGACTCATTATAAAATGAGTCTTTGTTCTTGTGCTGATGAGTGGAGATGAAGAAGTCCAAACGCTGTTCGGGTGTTGAAGGTTTATTGCGATGTATGCTATGGAGAGATGGAACACTCACATGCCTTCAGGAACCGATATTTACTGGCTAGAAAGGTGGTGGTATTTATACTAGCCATGTTAATTAACTGATGAAGTACTAATACACATTAGCTAACAGGTAAACATGGATTGACGTATACATGAGTTGTCGACAAGGTCTTGCAAACATAAATGGCAATAGATTCGGCTGTTTACAGCAAGATAAAGTTACACTGACCATCATACAAACTGCTTAGATAGGCTTCAGGCAATTACTTATATAATCAGGGAACGAACTAATACATGAACATGTGTAGTAGATCAGTAACGACAGAATACCTTTGGCCACTGGTCAATACATAATTGTTCACAGTAGATGTCGGTACTAAATTAACACAGGCAGATACATTATGATGAAACATTTGATTTATGTCTAGCACAATTTTGAATAATTTAATCTTACATGTTAACTTTTAATAGTTGATTTATCTTTATTCAAGACTATAAAAGCAGGTTTTCACAAGGTTCTGTTCTAGGGACTCACTTTTTCTTAATATACATTAATAAAGTGTGTAATCTCGCTTCTCTGTCCGACTTTTTACTGCTGGCACCTGTCCACCTTATCCATCTCATGATTTGAACCTTATTGAGAATTATGCAAAATCTTATTATTAAAACTTGAAGTCTGTTCGAAGGAATGGCTTATGTGACTTGTAATTCAAATAAACTGAAGCCCTACAAACAACGTCCTTACATCCCATTTTTGACATTTGACAATCAATTCAGATCAGTAACCAGTACAGATATTTTGGAAGCTATTTTTACTGATAGTTGTAACTGCATATTTAACAACATTACGCAAACTCAAACTTAATCTTTAAAGAAGTAACCTTATATAAGATATCTGCTCGAATATGAAGGCAAAATGTAAGACAACTGCGGTGCTTCGAATTCCTTAATACGACTTAATAAAACCCAGTTAGAACTGCAAGAATAGTTACAAGGGTGTCCATCTTTACAAAACGGATGTTTTTGTTTATTGTGAAATCGGCTGGCAACCACTGTCTAAGAGAAGCTGTTTTTGTTCTATTGTATAGTCATTCCTAATTTTCTGTCAGACCTGTTACCAATAGATATTAGAAATTTAGTTCGATGCAATCTTCGTCACTAACCTATTGAGAAAACAATGTTTCCGCCGACAACCATCGCGGGACTCATTCTTCCCTTCTACAACGAAATTTTGGAATTTAAAATCTCCTTCTTCAAATTCAAATTATTTCAAGGCTAATGTAAAAAAGGTTAAAATCGACAAATGGTAATCTCAGCAAGAATTTTATGGTACTTGAAATCTTAAATTTCTTCATTGTCTTCTAAGAAACCGAGCGAATATACTTAACTGTGATCTGTTCCGAGCAAATATGACAACATTCGAGTTGTATAAAACACAGAACTAGGATGGTATGAAGGTGGTCTAAATATCACCCTATATGGGGAGTGGTTATTGTTTGTTTGTGTGTTTGTTTGCTTTTTAATTATTTTTTTTTTAATTTCCGTTTGTTGGAGGTAATTGATTGGTATATGCCCATATTTGGTTATCAAGCTGAGCAAAACCGTGACTCTAACTGTAACAGACACCAGTGTTACTTACAATGTGCCAGGATGTGAATAAATTATGTTGTTGTGCTTTCGATGACATTAAATAAAATCGGATTTATTACGTTCTGAAGATTCCGGCCAGCTAACATCTGCCACATAATCGACCAAACCTGATAAACAAGAGTCTATTTCTAGATTGGTATTGGAGTTTCTGTTTTTTTACTCAATATATCTCCTTAATTTTTTTCATGTCAATCATCGATCGTATTACTGATGAAAAATAAGCAGTATTATTCCAAACGTTTTGAAATGTACCTTTTTAAAAGAAAAAAACTGATTATGATATTATTGTCGGAATTATTTACAAGAACGAATGGTCAGGTGAAGTTTGAATAACATTTGACCGGTATGTCGATGAAAAGCGATATTCATGACAGTAACAGCTCGGAATCACAGTATCTACATCGATATTGTAGACTATAAAAGGTGAAGAATACCTAAGTAGGGACAACAAGCGCTGATATTGGCACCAATTACACACGATTTTTGTCAGTAATTTGTTTCAAACCCTTTCTTCAGCCATGTCGACAATATTTACACTGTTCAGCGCCCTCGTGCTTCTATCGCCGGGTCTGGATGCTGAGTCGCCTATAATGAAGAAGTTGGAATCTGCCTTGGATACAGACACTGTCAATCCGGAACGGGAATTAGATTGTATGTTGTACCGTATGGAGGAGGAAATCAAAAGAGCAGAAAAGAAAGTGGCCAGGCTGGAAAAGGAACTAGTGGCTCTTACCAAACCAAGGCCGAAAGGTAGAATAATAAATAAGATTAGTAATATAACAAACGTATAAAAAGGAAGTTTTTAAATGTATCTGAAATTTATAAGAAAATTTAATAAGGATATAAATTGGGAATTTTAAATAAATTATTACATATCTTGTTTTATGTTGCGATAGCTATTATGAAGATAAAATTAATTTTATAAAATTATCTACCGGATAAATCGCTTTTGGGTGGTCGGATGGCGCAGTGGTAACGCACATTCTTCACCTAGCATCCGGTGTTCAATTTCCGGCTTTCTCCCACTGTATGGCCTCTCGCACGCTTACATCCGGGCCAACATGATTGATTTAGATCAGTCGGATAATTGTTGTAACATGAATAAAGTTTACGTTTTTTCATCAGATGAAAGTACTGATGTTGGTGTTTATAGCAATTATGTTCAGATTTATTGCTATTTGACTATCTAACCTTAATTTCACAATCGAGGCTTCTAACATCATATCTGTAGTTGGATCACATTGTTAGTTCATAGATTAAAATTTCGTCGGGTTTGATATGTTGGTTTTCCGTCAAAAATTCATTTTATAAATTTATTTCGATGTTTATATGTTTATTAAGCTTTTAAACAAAGCGTAGCCGAATTGGCTTCAGTACATCGTTACCATCTGGTGTAATTTTTGGTCTATAATCTGTTTACCATCTCGTCACACTATTTTCGACCTTAGTGTACATAGGATTATAGTGCATCCGAAAAAGTTGGTCGATTCGTTACCATCTCGTACACTAAGTTCGTCAATGCTAGTACGCTCCACAGTGGTCTTTGTCTGATGGAGGTGACCATGTAGTCACCTAAACGTCACACTGTAATCATCTGCTGGTTGTGTTATCAGAACATCTATGCTACTGACATTACCAACCTCAAGAAAATGTAAATAAAATTGTTTTTATTCGTTATTTGTCAGTTCTACTATCCCTTGCGTTTCACTAACCAGATTACTATACTGGACTACTTGTGTATATTTGTGATTTAACTGTGCAACCCAACACTGGAGAAGGTTTATGGTAGATCGATCATGATCTGATTAGAATGTTTATGCCCCCGGATAAAAAAAAAACAGGGGGCCTATTGTTCTTTCCCATGTCTGTGTGTTTGTTAAGCTGTCTGTCCGTCTGTCAGTCAGTCTATCTGTCTGTCCGTCTGTCCTGCTGTCAGTCTGTCTGTTTGTCTGTTGTCACCTTTAACTTTGGTCATAACTATTGCAGCGTAACAGGTGGGGTTATATACTAGTTCATTTGTGACAAGACCTTTCCGGTGGTACAAAAAAGTTTGACCATGTGATCTTGACCGTGACCTTTGACCTACATATGAAAATGTTTACATTGGCCATAACTATTGAACTAAAGCTGTCAAATCATTACCACGATGACGTCTGCATGCAATTAACACATGCCTTACATAGTACAGTGTTAACGTCTTATTTGTATGTTTTTTCTCTGAGCATTGAGCCTCCATTAGTTTGACCCTGTGGAGGATAAGAGGCCAAGACGATGAAGTTCCTGGTGGTATTTTACAGCTTTGAACTGTCCATCAGTCGCGATGTCGTTGTTGTTTTCTAACCTCTTAGACTGCTGGTATTAATCACTTACAGAGAAATGAAGAGAAAAAAACAAATGTACAACATATATCATCATAGCATTTCAAATTATAAATCATGTGGTACTGGATTTTTATATGTATATAATTTCTATTATTTAAGCCGGAATACCAGGTGTTTTGTGGTATGTCAAGTGGAATCTCGATTGTAACTATCTTTATTACATAGCATCTCCATATCCGATTCAATGTGTTGTTCCTGCATATTGTAACTTTTTGAAATTTTAATACGCCAAATACAATATTAATTAAACCTATTTTATCTTTATCGATACCAGAGTAACAATAACCAGCATCTTGACAAGTGTGAATACTAGTTTCGAACCTTAGCGACATATTTTACAAATATTCTGTTTTCCATAACTTCCCTTTTTCTCGTTGATTGTCAAATCGTGGTGAAAGAAATGACGATGATATATTATTATTGGGTGCGAGCCCTTCAAAAGCTGTCATCAACTTCTCATCATTTTCAACCTTGAATATAAAGGTCGCTAGGACCAGAGCAGTCATATACGTGTGTTGATCTGGCTTTGATTGGAGTAAATGTACCGGCGTTTTATTCATTCGGTCTGTTGACGGAGATTTTATATTGACTGATGACGTAGAGCAGAAGACAGAATATTTTGAAAAGTAAAAGTTTGTATGTTTTTATACTTTGCAGGCGAACAGTGTGCGTTTACTACATATTTGTCGAGCAGTAGCTCTGGCCTATACAGTAGTGGAGGCCGTATAAGGTTCACCAAGGTCGTCACGAATGTTGGAGGAGCATACAGCGTTGGCAATGGCATATTTACTAGTCCTGCAGATGGTGTATATGTTTTCCATTTTCACACCAATTTGTATTACTATAACAAACATTGTGCCCTTTCACTTTATCGAAGCGGGATAGTCGTCACAACTGCCTACGGCTATGAAGGGTCCGTCGGATACAATTCATTTGGTGGTACTGCTGTCCTAGAACTGAAAAAATCAGAAACTGTGTATATTGGAATAACATCACCACTTACAAGAAGTTCCTGTCCCTTGCGTGGACCGTTCACAACCTTCACTGGCTATCGGATATAGCGTGAACGAAAACCGGGCGTCAGCAGCAAGTCAGTATATAAATAGAAAACATTGTACATTAATTACCCTTTGTCCATTATCGCTGTTTTCTATCTAAGTGACTTGAATTTCGTAAGTTTAACATCTACATGTATGTTTACTTATAAAACGCCATGCTGCCTGATTCCGCCATCGCCTGTAGCAGATACAGCAACAAACTTATGTTACTGAAAGTACAGTTTTTTCTATCTTTCTTATTACTGTAAGTTCTGTTCTATTCTCAATGCTTGTGTTGTGGTAATGGTACTAAAATGGAGTATCTTATTATCATTATGATGTTATCACTATTTTAGAGTAAGTTTTGGGTCTTGAAGTATGGTATGTACATTAGTTCGCTTGATGGTGACCTCCCTACGACCAATCAGAAGGCTAAGATAAGGGTGACCTCTTGGATGACAATGTCTGGCTGTACATCTATCTACACTTATATTTATCTTTGTAGAATCTTTTCTGAGTAAAGCACCGAACAAAAAAATAAGTGTTTGATGTGTTGTGTCTGGTGAGACCTTTCGGGGCGTTTTTTTCCTGTCATGTTCTTTGTAATATATTCATTTATTTCTAATAACGCCGATTATAAACACTACGCAAATTTTAATTTTAAACATGGCTTGAAGTCAAGACTTTTCTGTCTCTCAGTTCAAATCACCGAGTCCTTCTATAGAACATTATTGTACAAAAGACACACAACCGAATAGCAATTTTTACTACGACTGTTGATTAAGATACATTTAAACCAAACAATGAATTGCATTGCATCTTACAGCTGTTTCGTCCTTCTAGAACTAGTCAGTGATGCTACATCATACAGCTGTTTCGTCCTTCTAGGACTAGTCAGTGATGCTACATCATACAGCTGTTTCGTCCTTCTAGGACTAGTCAGTGATGCTACATCATACAGCTGTTTCGTCCTTCTAGGACTAGTCAGTGATGCTACATCATACAGCTGTTTCGTCCTTCTAGGACACATCAGTGATGCTACATCATACAGCTGTTTCGTCCTTCTAGGACTAGTCAGTGATGCTACATCATACAGCTGTTTCGTCCTTCTAGGACTAGTCAGTGATGTCAAGGGCCTAATTTTTTAAGTCTAGGAGGCTTCTGAAGAAAATTAGAAAGTAACAGAAGGAAAACTCTAAATCTAAATGATAAAGTGAATTAGTCCCATAGAAGTGAGGCACTGACAAGCGTGAAGTCTAACCATCAAAGCTCGTAGATAGCATGTCATTTTAGTGTAATAGAACAAAGAAAATCTTCAGCGTGATAATCGACAGGCTCTACCAACTCAGAAAAAGGAGTGTTCTGTCATCTGAGTAACAGGAACCGTATTTAACACTTTATACAAGACATACCGACCCGTCAGCTGGGGTACAGCGACTGTATTAAACACTTTATACAAGCCATATCGACCCGTCAGCTGAGTAACAGGGACCTTATTCAACACTTTATACAAGACACACCGACTCGTCAGCTGAAGTCAGAGACAGTATTAAACAATATACACAAGCCATACCAACCCGTCAGCGAAGGGACAGAGACCGTATTAAACACTATATACAAACCACACCTACCCGTCAGTGGAGGTACTGTGACCGTATTTAACACTATATACAAGCCACACCAAGCCGTCAGTGGAGGTATTGTGACCGTATTTAACACTATAAACTGAGACCGTATTTAACACTAACCCAAGACTCCAAGCATCAGAACCAGCGGGGGCACCAATATCAAAGAACATGGAAAATACATATTCCTGTCGAGTGCCCCGATCAGGAATCAAACCCGCGTTAATTGACCGGCCCTACCCATCTTTATATTCATATTATATTATATAATATAAATTTTATACATAAATGGTTATATTCAAATATATTCATTGCACTAAAATAGATAAATAAATATGATCGGGTCATACCAGTAAACGTACGCCCAATACCTCTTTTATAAATTAACCAGCAGTCTTACGTACAGACACTATTGTGAAAAAGATTTACCGTCAATAAAGGTTATCTGTGGACACTGTATTTCTAAATTCTCCCCTTCGATGAAATATCTTTTAATGAAAGGGGAAATACTTTGAATGATGATCGACACTGATTAATATTTAAACCACCTCAGACGAGGCATTTTGATCTCTCTGAGTTACTGCCCTTTGTTTCACTCTGTACATGGTATTGAGAAAAGCTTGACGATAGGAGCCGAGGATGGGTAATTATGGTTTTACATAAGTGCCTATCATCCAGTTATTGGTCGTATTTGAGTGATTTCAGTAAAACAAGAACCCTCTGTCGCATATTTCTGAAACTAGAGAGAGCTTATTGAACACACAAGTTACCTTTCATTACGATTAAAATTTAGATAAAATATATACATGTACAAATGATTTACATCATACAGATTCCTCTATTTAGGACTCGTCTTTGATGTTAGGGGCCTGTTTTTCGCAACTTAGGAGGCGACCGAGAAATATCTAATCAGAGTTTTGGTCAACCTCAATGTTAAAAACCAGATGGGTAAATACATTAGCGCAAAAATTTAATCTATTCCGTACTTCTAAAAATTTAGTACTTTCATCAGAAAGTTAATTAAGTGTATTCTGAATCGTGCTACGATTAAAATGAATTAAAAATACAGTATGAAATTATTCTTATTGGAATTTTGGAGTTAAGGAATAGTCACCTATAGTTTATTTGTGGCTAAGAAAAGTAGCAATAATATATACATGACAAATCTTTGCCTCTCACATACCCAAACATATAGGTTAATATTTATAGCATATTATCCGAAAAGGCTGATATATATAGCATACACAGTGTACTATCTGAATAGACTAATATTTATAGCATACTATCAGAATAGGCTTATATCTATAGCATACTATCAGAATAGGTTAAAATTCATAACATACTATGGGAATAGGCTAATATTTATAGCACAATATCGAAATAGGCTAACATTTATAACACTATCGGAAAAGGCTTATATATATGGCAAAGTATTGGAACAGGCTAATATTTATAGCATACTATCGTAGAAGGCTGATATTTTTGCATACTATCGAAATAGGCTATTACTTATAACATATTATCGGAATAGGCTAATATTTATAGCATACTATCAGAATATGCTTATATTTATAGCATACTATCAGAATATGCTTATATTTATAGCATACTATCAGAATATGCTAATATTTATAGCATACTCTCGAAATATGCTAATATTCATAGCATACTATCGGAATAGGTTAAAATTTATAACATAATATCGGAAAAGGCTAATATTTATAACATAATATCGGAAAAGGCTAATATTTATAACATAATATCGGAAAAGGCTAATATTTAAAGCATACTATCGAAATAGGCTAATATTTATAGTATAGTATCGGAATATGCTAATATTCATAGCATACTATCGGAATAGGTTAAAATTTAAAACATATTATCGAAATAGGTTTAATATTTAAAGCATACTATCGGAATAGGCTAATATTTATAACATAATATTGGAATAGGCTAATATTTATAACATAATATCGGAAAAGGCTAATATTTATAACATAATATTGGAATAGGCTAATATTTATAACATAATATCGGAATAGGCTAATATTTATAACATAATATCCGAATAGGCTAATATTTATAACATAATATTGGAATAGGCTAATATTTATAGCATACTATCGGAATATACTACCCTAAATGGCCAATTATATATCTCATGGTATAGCGAGGACAATGCTAGCAGTCAAGTCACAGCTGGCAGTCTGTCAGAGGTTCTGCTGTTTTTTTCCAATCAGTACCAAAAGTAAACACAACTAGGAACCAAAAATAGAAACCATGCAAATGAAATCTGAGAAAGATTCATCCAATTCTTCAAAAGAGGTAGCGATTACAAGAATTGTTTAATAAAGCGTGGACAATGGATAAGAGAGTGCATGTACAAAGGGCAATTTGAATAGTAAACATTATATCAAGTGAGAATAGCCTGTATATTTACCACTGAAAACCAAAGCTGAAAGATGTTGAACAGATATTCAGCAAGATTTCCACACTATCACGAGGACATAAAAACTCCAAAACACTCCATGTTTATGAAATACATTTTATTATCGTGTTCAGGTAAATGAATTTACATAAACAGTCATTAACAATATGTGGTGTATAACAGAATGGTATAATCCGACTACCCGGAAGATTTAACAATTAAGTTAGTTACTACAATATCAAATATTTTTGTGGGGCTTAATTTTCGTGAGTTTCTCAAAAAACGAAAAAAGAAAAAAAAAGAAACAAAGAAATATTTCAAGTACACATGATTTCGTGGAATTAAACTCAATAAACCTATATATGTTTATCCGTTGATGGACCATATGAATTCATGGATGTAAAGTACTCACTAAATTAACAAAAAAATTAAAAATTACATTCCAACTCACCTCCTCCCACGAAAATTTATGATTTCACAGTAAGAAGAAACAAAAAAAAAATTAAAGCTAAAAGCTCTTATATATTTCCCTTTCCAAATGCAAGAAATAAAGATCATTGGTGAAGTCAGGTTGAATCTATAGAATGGGATTGAAAAATGACTGCTTATACTGGACAGCCACCAACCCAGATCATCCAATTTTTAAGAAATGCAAGATATTCTTCATCTTGATGGACAGGATGGTAGGGGACTGGACAAGCAAGTCTGACCTGCATGACAATCTGATTTTTCAGAAATGCAAATCCAAGATTTTTCTTCCCCTTTAGGAATAAGAGGGTGGTAAGGGGGCAAGCAAGTCGCACTGTGAGGACTATCCCATGTTTCAGAAATGCAAGTCTAATTTTTTTTTTTTCAAAATACAGGATGAGAGGGTGGTAAGTTGGGGATCAATCAAATCAGACCTGGATGTCAATACAATGTTTCATTATGCAAGTCTTAAAATTCTTCAGATGAAGTTGGTGCACATTGAG